TATTTGCACTAAAACTATGTAGATACTGTACCAGTTCATCCATAAGAACATTTTCTGTATTATATAAGGACTTACATATTTTATATATTGTTCCTTACTCATCTCGGCTAATTACCAATGGTGGGGCAAGTTTATTCTTAAACAATATCTCCAATATAACATTAGTCCCAGAGGTCCCATGGTCCAATGTATCAGAATTCTGCACCTGCAAATGGATGGGGAAACTAATCGAGCAAAGAGATCAAATTCCTTGATATCTCATCCCGCATAAAATCCCTTAAAGCTTTAATTGACATCACACCATAATTTACCTACTAAATGGTTACAACTCCTAAAAAAGAATACCAAACGTTCAGAGGATAATTTGATTTGCACTAAACTGGGCAAAATATGTCTAGATTTCAATGATTATAATATGAATAGGAGATACTGTTGGAAAAAATCTGCTCATATCACACCATTCCACAGTAAATTTTCCAGTTCCACTCATGACGTCGTCCTATACCAACTATCCAAAAGTGTAATAATAATAAAAAGTTTGGTACTAGTTTACTGATTGAGTCTCAATCTAACTTAGTTAAATTTATACACGAGTTACAGCCTACTAAGAACCATCATCCCCAGTCTCAACGACTATCATGCAAAAAGAAAAAAACCCTCTTTCCAACCTGATTACCAAATAACATTCCCCCAGGATTTCACATATATCCAAAAATAGGAACAGTTCTTCCAATCTAATATCCAACATGGCAGTGTCAACTATTTATCTTCTGAGATAGAGGCCTTCCCCTCTTCCATTAATCCCAAACCCATGACATTGAGTTCATCAAATTCATTACAAACTGAGTCTAACTCCAATAATAGTACCAGTCATCTGTCTCGCAACTCCCAAACTACCAAAGAGACACCTATTGATCATAATAGTTTTTAATCTGAGCCCCATAACATTCTCAGTAGTGTCCATCCCCTTGTATACTCACCTACTGCCATTCCTTTTTTTAGACAGGACCTCCCTGTCCACCCCAAATAGAAAACTTGCAGACGAGGAAGGAGAGGGGGAACACAACATGACTAGGCATTAGTATTAAAAGTATTAAGTATTAACTTTTACCCCTTCAGCACCCCCTAATCCTTTCACTCTGTTCATGGACCTCAATAAATTCATTAGACACTTAACTGTAAAAAGGTTTTTCAATACCCAATCCTCTGAAAATAAAAATACAGATGACCCCAATATTGGTAGTTCCAATGATATCAAAACCTCCAAAAAGTTTTTTAATCATCAGTTGACAATCTATCAGTTGAAAAATCCATCTTAGCCGATTTAGAACTTGTATATACAGTAGAAGAGGAAGATTATATAAACATTACTCACTCAACATCTTCCATCCTCCCCTCCCATTCAACATACCAGCTTTTTTTTATCTCACATCTGCCAAAGGCACTTAAATTCAAAGTTTTTCCAGGTAATATATACAGATATCCTACATACAGTATGTGTAAAAACTCCTCTAGCCCTTCCGCTTCTAACCTTTCAGTCAGAGAATCTACAGCACTTCCACAACTTTCACAAAATCACAATCTAATTATTAAACCGGCAGATAAGGGAGGGGGGATCATCATTCAAAATCGCATTGATTATATTAAGGAATCCATGAGATTATTGTCAGATACCCAAACATATCAGAAACTCAAAAGTGACCCCCTACCACAATTCCAAAAGGAAGCACATAGTCTTGTTATTGATTAAGCTTTCAAAATGGAATCATTAAAACAACTGAAATATCGGTCTACATGCAGTCCATCCTTTCCTCGACAGTCCCCGACAAGCCCAATTTATTCTAGATGCCACAGAGTATTACTTACTCATAATTACTTTGAATTCTATGGTGAGTTCTACCTACAAACACACGGAAGAGCCATGGGAGCAAATTTTCCTCCCACTTAACCATGGGGCAATGGGAACAATTATACATCTGGAACAACAACCCGTACGGCAGTCACCTAATTTTTTACAGGTGCTACATAGATGATATAATCATCATTTGTGATGCCCCCTCACAACATCAGTTCCAGCATTTGTCCAACATTGCGACACCAATCACATGGGCTTATCTTTCACATCAGTTTGTGACTCTGACAAATTGGCATTTTAAGATTTAGAATTCTGCCATGAAGGAAACACCATTTTTGTCCAGAATTGCAGTAAACCCACAGCACGCAACTCCTATTTTACATTATAAGAGTTGCCATAATCCCCGTTGGGTTGCTAATATTCCAAAAAGTCAATTTTGCTGTCTAAAACACAACTGTACTAGGGAACAGGATTACATCACTCATAGCCAACTCTTGAAGGACAAATTCCTTGATAAGGGCTACCCAAATGCAATAGTTGAGAAAGCCTTCGCCTTTTATTTGATGCATAAACCCACAACCCAGTATGTGTCATCCACTCAAGAACCACCCCCTTTGAGATTCACAACACAATTCCATACCCAATTTTGTAAAATGTAATGCATATTCCAAAAACATTGGCCCATAATACAAGAGGACCCGCATCTAACGTCTGTGATAACAGCTAAACCTAAAGTGTCTTACAGGCGAGCCAAGAATATCAAAACCAAAATTTCATCCAGCAAAATTAAACAGTTTCCTACTAAAGCTCATGACCCTCTTACTTTCCTAAGTATCAAAGGCATGTTTCAATGTTGGAAACCTAGATGTCTAACCTGTAAACATGTCACCCATGGTCAAAAAAGTTTATTGCAAAAGGGAAACAATAACCTATAGCTGATTTCTCTAACTGTTCCACCCAATTTATTTTTTACTGTCTCACTTGCCCGTACTTTGTGTTGGACGGACTATTCGGAGAACATTGGCAGTTGGTAGAAGATGGTTCTGACCAACATAGTGTGCCCCGAAACTTCCTTGAGACTCACAATAGATCTTCCCAAGACTTAAAGGTATGGATCTTTGAGTCCATATCTTCAAATCTTCCCACTGCTGAACAATACAAACGCCTCTCTGAGAGAGAGACCTACTGGATATATTCCTTAGGAACATTGGTTCCGGGGGGGACTTGAATGAAGAATTAGAAATCAGTACTATCATATGATTATCCATACGTCTTCACTTTTGATTTTATTCATGGGTAAATATTAATCATTATACATTATACATAACCCCCTCCCCCCTCAATCTTTAAGCATTAAATAAGAACTTTATTGCATACATACATGCTCTCTTTACATATACCACACAATGCACATATACACTATATTGCCAAAAGTATTGGGAAGCCTGCCTTTATATGCATAAGAACTTTAATGACATGTCAGTCTTAGTCCGTAGGGTTCAATATTGAGTTGGCCCGCCCTTTGCAGCTAAAACAGCCTCAAGTCTTCTCTGCAAAAGGCTGTCCACAAGGTTTAGGGAGTGTGTCTATGGGAATGTTTGACCATTCTTCCAGAAGCGCATTTGTGAGGGCAGGCAGTGATGTTGGACGAAAAGGCCTGGCTCACAGTCTCTACTCTAATTCATCCTAAATGTGTTCTATCGGGTTGAGGCCAAGACTGTGCAGGCCAGTCAAGTTCCTCTATCCCAAACTCGCTCATCCATGTCTTTATGGACCTTGCTTTGTGCACTAGTGTGCAGTCGCAGCTGCTTGGCCATGAAAACCAATACCATGAAGCTTTCTACGCACTGTTGTGCTAATCTGAAGGCCACATGAAGTTTGGAGGTCTTTAGCTATTGACTCTGCATACAGTTGGTGACTTCTGCACACTGTGCGCTTCAGAATGCGCTGACCCCCCCTCTGTCATTTTACGTGGCCTACCACTTCGTGACTGAGTTGCTGTTGTTCCCAGTTGCTTCCGCTTTGTTATAATACCAATAACAGTTGACCATGAAATATTCAGTAGCAAGGAAATTTCACTGATGGACTTATTGCATAGGTGGCAACTAGAGATGAGCGAATTATTCAAAAATTCGATTCGGCTGATTCGCCGAATTTGCGGGAGAAATTCGATTTGATGCGAATTTATTCGCCGCGAATTTAACTTATTTAAAGGGTTTCTAGGCTTCAGAGAGCCTTTATATTAGTGCAGAACACTGTACCTTTAATTTAAATGCCCTTGGAGTCTGCTGGGGAAGGAAATAATACTGTCAGTCAGTATGACATGCAGATGAGTGCCGTCGATCTTAGAATCACCGCACACTTCACTCATTTGGGCAGTCACGGGGCACGACGAAGAAGAAGAATGAAAAGAAGAAGAATGAAAAGAAGAAGAATGAAAAGAAGAAGAAGAAGAAGAAGAAAATGAAAAGAAGAAGAAGAAGAAGAAGAATGAAAAGAAGAAGAAGAAGAATGAAAAGAAGAAGAATGAAAAGAAGAAGAATGAAAAGAAGAAGAATGAAAAGAAGAAGAATGAAAAGAAGAAGAATGAAAAGAAGAATGAAAAGAAGAATGAGAAGAATGAAAAGAAGAAGAAGAATGAAAAGAAGAATGAAAAGAAGAAGAATGAAAAGAAGAATGAGAAGAAGAATGAAAAGAAGAATGAAAAGAAGAATGAAAAGAAGAATGAAAAGAAGAATGAGAAGAAGAATGAGAAGAAGAATGAAAAGAAGAATGAAAAGAAGAAGAAGAATGAAAAGAAGAATGAAAAAAGAAGAAGAAGAATGAAAAGAAGAAGAATGAAAAGAAGAATGAAAAGAAGAAAAAGAATGAAAAGAAGAATGAAAAGAAGAAGAAGAGAAAAGAAGAAGAATGAAAAGAAGAAGAAGAATGAAAAGAAGAATGAAAAGAAGAATGAACTATATTACTATATCAGTCTCTAATGGATGCTGGAGAGTTAAACCCCCTAACACCTGCTGTGCCCATTATGAGGGGTTCCCACCATCCCTGTGCTGAGGTTCCAGGTCTGCACACCTGCTGCGCCCATTATGAGAAGTTCCCACCATCCCTGTGCTGAGTTCCTGGGTCTGTACACCTGCTCTGCCCATTAGGAGGAGTTCCCACCATCCCTGTGCTAAATTCCTGGGTCTGTACACCTGCTGTTCCCATTATGAGGGGTTTCTACCATCCCTGTGCTGAGGTCCCGGGTCTGTACACCTGCTCTGCCCATTAGGAGGAGTTCCCACCATCCCTGTGCTAAATTCCTGGGTCTGTACACCTGCTGTTCCCATTATGAGGGGTTTCTACCATCCCTGTGCTGAGGTCCCAGGTCTGCACACCTGCTGCGCCCATTACTAGGGGTTCCCACCATCCCTGTGCTGAGGTTCTGGGTATGCACACCTGCTGTGCCCATTATGAGGGGTTCCCACCATCCCTGTGCTGAGGTTCCAGGTCTGCACACCTGCTCTGCCCATTATGAGAAGTTCCCACCATCCCTGTGCTGAGTTCCTGGGTCTGTACACCTGCTCTGCCCATTAGGAGTTCCCACCATCCCTGTGCTAAATTCCTGGAGAAGAAGAAGAATGAGAAGAATGAAACGAAGAAGAAGAATGAGAAGAAGAATGAAACGAAGAAGAAGAAGAATGAAACGAAGAAGAAGAAGAATGAAACGAAGAAGAAGAAGAATGAAAAGAAGAAGAATGAAACGAAGAAGAAGAGGAATGAAACGAAGAAGGAAAAGAAGAATGAAACGAAGAAGGAAAAGAAGAATGAAACGAAGAAGGAAAGAAGAATGAAACGAAGAAGAAGAAGAAGGAAACGAAGAAGGAAAAGAAGAAGGAAAAGAAGAATGAAACGAAGAGAATGAAACGAAGAAGAAGAAGAATGAAACGAAGAAGAAGAAGAATGAAAAGAAGAAGGAAACGAAGAAGAATGAAACGAAGAATGAAACGAAGAATGAAACGAAGAATGAAACGAAGAAGAAGAATGAAAAAGAAGAATGAGAAGAATGAAACGAAGAAGAAGAAGGAAAAAAAGAAGAAAAAAGAAGAAGAATGAAAAGAAGAATGAGAAGAATGAAACGAAGAAGAAGAATGAAAAAAGAAGGAAGAAGAAGAAGAAGAAGAAAAGAAAAGAAGAATGAAAAGAAGAAAGAATGAAAAAAGAAGAAGAAGAAGAAGAAGAAGAAGAAGAAGAAGAAGAAGAAAAGAAGAAGAAAAAGAAAGAATGAAAAGAAGAAGAATGAAAAGAAGAAGAAGAAGAAGAAGAAGAAGAAGAAGAAGAAGAAGATGAAAAAAAGAAGAGAAGAAGAATGAAAAGGAATGAAAAGAAGAAGAAGAATGAAAAGAAGAAGAAGAAGAAGAATAGAAAAAGAAGAAGAAGAAGAAGAAGAAAAAAGAAGAAGAAGAAGAAGAAGAAGAAGAAAAGAAGAAGAAGAAGAAGAAGAATGAAACGAAGAAGAAGAAGAAGAATGAAAAGAAGAAGAAGAAAAGAAGAAGAAGAAGAAGAAACGAAGAATGAAAAGAAGAATGAAACGAAGAAGAAGAAGAATGAAAAGAAAAAAGAAGAAAAAAAAGAAGAAGAAGAAGAAGAATGAAAAAAAAAGAAGAAAAAAGAAGAAGAAGAAGAATGAAACGAAGAAGAAGAATGAAACGAAGAAGAAGAAGAATGAAACGAAGAAGAAGAAGAATGAAACGAAGAAGAAGAATGAAACGAAGAATGAAAAGAAGAATGAAACGAAGAATGAAAAGAAGAATGAAACGAAGAATGAAACGAAGAAGGAAACGAAGAAGAATGAAAAGAAGAAGGAAACGAAGAAGAAGGAAACGAAGAAGGAAACGAAGAAGAAGAAGAAGGAAACGAAGAAGAAGAAGAATGAAACGAAGAAGAAGAAGAAGAAGAAGAAGAATGAATGAACGAAGAATGAAACGAAGAATGAAACGAAGAAGAAGAATGAAAAGAAGAATGAGAAGAAGAATGAAACGAAGAAGAAGAAGGAAAAAAAAAAGAATGAAAAGAAGAAGAAGAATGAAAAGAAGAATGAAAAGAAGAAGAAGAAAGAAGAATGAAAAGAAGAATGAAAAGAAGAAGAAGAAGAATGAAAAGGAATGAAAAGAAGAAGAAGAAGAAAAGAAGAAGAAGAAGAAGAAGAAGAAGAAGAAGAAGAAGAAAGAAGAAGAAGAAGAATGAAAAGAAGAATGAAAAAGAAGAAGAAGAAGAAGAAGAAGAAAAAGAAAAAGAAGAAGAATGAAAAGAAAAAGAAGAAGAATGAAAAGAAGAAGAAGAATGAAAAGAAGAAGAAGAATGAAAATAAGAAGAAGAAGAATGAAAAGAAAGAATGAAAAGAAGAAGAAGAAGAATGAAAAGAAGAATGAAAAGAAGAATGAAGAATGAAAGAATGAAAAGAAGAATGAAAAGAAGAAGAAGAAGAAGAATGAAAAGAAGAAGAAGAAGAATGAAAAGAAAAAGAAGAAGAAATGAAAAGAAAAAGAAGAAGAATGAAAAGAAGAAGAAGAATGAAAAGAAAAAGAAGAAGAAGAAGAAGAATGAAAAGAAGAAGAAGAAGAAGAATGAAAAGAAGAATGAAAAGAAGAATGAGAAGAATGAATGAAAAGAAAAGAAAAGAAAAGAAGAAGAAGAAGAAGAAGAAGAAAAGAAGAATGAGAAGAATGAAACGAAGAAGAAGAATGAAAAGAAGAAGGAAAAGAAGAAGAATGAAAAAGAAGAAGAAGAATGAAAAGAAGAATGAAAAGAAGAAGAAGAAGAATGAAAAGAAGAATGAAAAGAAGAAGAAGAATGAAAAGAATGAATGAAAAGAAGGAGAAGAATGAAAAGAAGAATGAGAAGAATGAAAAGAAAGAAGAATGAAAAGAAGAAGAAGAAGAATGAAAAGAAGAAGAAGAAGAAGAAGAAGAATGAAAAGAAGAAGAAGAAGAAGAAGAATGAAAAGAAGAAGAAGAAGAAGAAGAATGAAAAGAAGAAGAAGAAGAAGAAGAAGAAGAAAAGAAGAAGAAGAAGAAGAAGAAGAAGAAGAAGAAGAAAGAAAAGAAGAAGAAGAAGAATGAAAAGAAGAAGAAGAAGAAGAATGAAAAAGAAGAAGAAGAATGAAAAGAAGAAGAAGAAGAAGAAGAATGAAAAGAAGAAGAAGAAAGAAGAAAAGAAGAAAAGAAGAAGAAGAAGAATGAAAAAGAAGAAGAAGAATGAAAAGAAGAATGAAAAGAAGAATGAAGAAGAAGAAGAAGAAGAAGAATGAAAAGAAAAAGAAGAAAAAAGAAGAAGAAGAAGAAGAAGAAGAAGAAGGAGAAGAATGAAAAAGAATGAATGAAAAGAAGAATGAAAAGAAGAATGAAAAGAAGAATGAAAAGAAGAAGAAGAAGAAGAATGAAAAGAAGAAGAAGAAGAATGAGAAGAAGAAGAATGAAAAGAGAAGAATGAGAAGAATGAAAAGAAGAAGAAGAGGAATGAAAAGAAGAATGAAAAGAAGAAGAAGAAGAATGAAAAAAAGAGAAGAAGAAGAAGAATGAAAAGAAGAATGAAAAGAAAGAAGAATGAAAAGAAGAAGAAAGAAGAAGAATGAAAAGAAGAATGAAAAGAAGAATGAAAAGAAGAAGAAGAATGAAAAGAAGAATGAGAAAGAAGAATGAAAAGAAGAATGAAAAGAAGAATGAGAAGAATGAAAAGAAGAATGAAAAATGAAAGAAGAATGTAAGTATTCCAGTACAGCAAAAAGTGTATATCTGCAGAGAGCTCCGCTATTTCTGACAGTTCTCTGACAGTTCCTTCACATTTACAGCGGTTGAAACATTGTATCTGTTTCCGAATAAAAACATCTGTATCCTAAATGGAAACAAATAGATACAATGTTTCAACCGCTGTACATGTGAAGGAACTGTCAGAGAACTGTCAGAAATAGCGGAGCTCTCTGCAGGGACACTTTTGCCGGCTGATCGGGAAAAAGATTCGTGCACCCGAAGTTGGCTAATATTCGGATTCGGCACGAATCAAATTTTTCCTGAAATTCGAAACGAATTCCACTTCGCCTGGTTCGATTCGCTCATCTCTAGTGGCAACCTATCACGGTATCACGCTTGAATTCATTGAGCTCCTGAGAGCGACCTATTTTTTCAAAATGTATGTAGAAGCAGTCTGCATGCCTAGGTGCTTGATTTTATACCAACCTTGCGCAGTACCTCAGTAAATCTGTGATTTTATTCAATAAAATATATATATTCACAAACAAGGAAGTAAATCAAGCATTACAGATCCTCAAAGGAACTAGGGAGTGTAGAGCCAGTGTGAGTCACATCACGAGGGTAGACTCTCAAAGTAAGGCTGATGAGTTTCAAAGAGGGACCCTTCTTCATCAGAGCTAACTACACAATGAGTGCCCCCTACCATATATACCATGGGACGAAGTGAGGGCCCTCCCATCTGGGCAGGGCTGTCCCTGGCCAGGAGGAGGGGCATAGGTGTCATAAAATATGTCAGCAACAACATATTCAAGTATGTTTCTACACATTTGGGCTTTTTCTATATGCATTTTTAATTTTCATGCATTATGGTCATATGCTTGATTATACATGAAAGGACATGTATTTGTATTTGTGTTCCTGACATGTTTTTATGACACTTATGCCGCTCCTTCCAGCCAAGAACATTATGCTGCCTGTAACATTGTTCTGCATGGTGGTGGGTGATGGTCTGGGGAGGCATCTCCATGGAGGGACGCACAGAACTTTGCAGGCTAGACAATGGCACCTTCACTGCCATTAGCTATCGGGGATGAAATTCTTGGATCCACTGTCAGACCCTACACTGGTGCAGTGGGTCCTGGGTTCCTCCTGGTGCACGGCCATGCCCGGCCTCATGTGGCGAGAGTACGCAGGCAGTTCCTGGAGGATGAAGGAATTGATATCACTGAATGGCCCCCACGCTCGCCTCACCTAAATCCAATAGAACACCTCTGGGATATCATGTTTCAGTCCATCCGATGTTGCCAAATTGCACCTTAGACCAGAGAGTCCAAGAGCTCAGTGATGCTCTGGTCCAGGCCAGGGAGGAAATACCCCATGGACACCATCCATCTTCTCATTAGGTGCATGCCCCGACATTGTCAGGTATGCATACAAGCACGTGGGGATTATGTCCTGACAGAGAGGTTTCCTTTATCCATTTTGCTTGTGTGGATGGAGGAGTCCATTCAAAAAATGAATCCTCTATGGCCAGCTTTATAGTGCACCAATGGTATATGTACAACCATAAAGAATGGTTCGAAGTCAGCGATGGGCTGTCTGCTGGCCTAAACACTGCCTGAATGATCAGAATCACTGACTTATGTTTTACTATATTTTTTCTATTAATGTGTTATTCCCAACACTTTCTTCCTTTCACACCTTTTCTCTCAGTTTCACTACTTCCAGTAGTGTATGTTTATGCTAGAGCTTTTATCCAATCATATTTCAGCCGTGACAGCTATCATGTGTTGCCAGGGTCAAATAAATCTGCCTTGAGGCCTTTAGAATCATCAGTGAGGCACC